TACTTAGAAATGAGTAGGACTAAAACTGGGAGGTTTTTAAAAAATGAGTGGTGATGTGTTTCCCAGAAAAAAGGAGCTGAAGCAAAGCCATTCCACTTTAAGCATCCTAAGAGCTTTGATGAGAGGAGTATAGTGTTGCTTGGCTTGCTGCTGATTTGGCAGCCTCTGCCTCTCCACTGCATTTTTCATGTGCGCCCTTCGTTTGTTTCTTTTTTTTCCTCTTTTGTATCTTACTCATCAGAATGTGAGGTAAAAGGCTGCTACTGCAACACTCTTGCTCCAAGCAGCTTATGCTAACCAGCTTTCACAGAGAACATAATCCTTACACAAACACCTTAACTCATGAAGGAAGAAGGTCCAGTGCGACGTAGGTTTTCTTCATGTGCTGGGATTTCATCTGTGTTTTCTCCAAGAGCTGATGGCCGAAAGCTCGTCCGGAACGCTTCATTTGGCGGATATAACGAGCTCTCTCCTGCTTTACCAGGTTTGTTTTGGTCTTGCATTTCTTAAAATGTACAGAAGCTAATTTAATTTCTGCCTCAAATTTTCACGCTTGAATGAAAGTAATGTACTGAGATGTGGGTAGAAATCAGAAAGAGTATTTGCTTGTATGCATTTCGATAACAGCTCTTTGTAGTGGCAAGATTTGCCGACAGGGAAAGGAGTAAGTTAGCTTTCACACTGCCACAAATCTCACTTTAAAATGCATTGGTGTATTTGAGACTGACTGGAATGTTTGTTTTGGTTGTTTGGGCTTTTAGGACTGAGGTTCTGTGATGTGGTTTATAAATGCTTTCCTCTCTTGTACTTTCCACTGCCTCCCCCCCGCCACCACATACACATAATGGATCTGCTTTAAAATTGTATGGTACAGCAGAAGGTTTTCATTTAGCTGTAACTACTGGAAAATCCGCGGGCTGGTCATCAACGTTTGACATAAAATGACAAGATAGAAAATGAGGGCTAAAAACATAGCTTTGCTAAACTCTGTAGTGCAAGATTTTGAAGACTTGAAACCTCTGAAAGGGCTTTAATCTCCTTTTGCGCAGATTTGTTGTTCCCTGAAAATCGGTACTGGAATATTGAAATGAATTTGTAGATTGTTGCATGTCATTGTTCATAATGTAACTTCTGACATAGGTAGCTGAATTTCAGCAGTTTATTTCAGAAAGCCTCAGTGCCTGAAAATGTGTTACAAGGTCACCCGTTCCTGAAGGGGGACATAGTACAAACCGTGCATTCTTTCCAGAATTGCTCTGGATGTGTGAGTTGTCTTGTGCATGCGCAGATATGCACTGTATTGTGTAGTCCCACGGGGCCAGGATGTTGCGGGGGAAGGAAAGGGGGGAATAAAATAGTTTTCACTTTTCTGTTGCGTGCCTCCTGCAGCATGGCTCACTGAATTTGTAAGCCGTGGTTCTGAAGCCCCGGAGCAGAGTTGGGTGCAGACCATGGGGGAGGTTGCAGACACCATGTTTTATTGAACTTTTTTATCCTGGAATGTTTCCTTTCACTCTGTTTCAGGAAATGATTAGCCTTCTACAAAGAATCTAACACTGAGTTTTATTCAAGCTGCTTACAAAATAAAAGATCTCAAAGCTTCAAAGCATGGGGTTGGCAACTAGACAGGTGCTTCCTACCTTTAAAATAAGTATGTGTAGTCTGGTAATTAGTGGGAAAAAAAGGGGTCTCATTTTGTATTTGCTTCCTTTCTGTATGGAATTCTGCAGCTAAAGCTGATCACTGTTCATAAGCAGACAATGAATGAGTTCTTAAAATGCAGAACAAATGGAAAGCAATTTTTAATGAAAAAATTCAAGTGTGTACATAGAAATAAAAAATGCTTGCTCTTTTGGAATCTTGCGTATATCTCTGAAGAATTTCAACATTCCTAACATGCTTAATGAACATTCTTTATACACTCTTTCAGATTGGTTTAGGCAAAGACTAATTGTCTGTTTTAAATATACTCATGTATAGTTACAGTGATGACAGTCTTTGGTTATTACCAAAGTGCTTACAAAAGAAAACACTACTGTTAGAAAATACATAAAAGAACTTTGCTTACTTTTCTGATTACTTCAGTCTCAAAGTCCATGGAGGACTCTGAATTAGTTAATATGGGATTGTACTCTTAAATCTGGCTGTCAATAAGCTTTTGGAAGTCAGTCAGTTAAAAAGACTATGGTTCCCTGTGTTCAGTTCTTTAAAAAGACTTTTCCTTTTTTTTTCTGATGTGTTTATTATATGGCACCAGTATTGATAATTCCCACTAAGTACAGCTCATAGTTCTTCCAGAAGCATTTTCCAGCTGAAGTATTTGTTCCTCAAAACTGCACATGCACACCAGTAATCAAATCAGGCTGTTCCTTTCTTTTCACTTGGAAGTCAGTAACACTGTTGCTTGGATTGCTATTTGTGATCTTTTCATGCATTGCATTGCTTTCCTACTGTTTTTTCTGTATGTTTGAAAAAGAGCCTCCAGTGGATAGTAATTATTTCTTTTCTGAATAAAATAGATCTGACATTGAAAAGTAACATGCTTATTTTCTGATGTATTTTTCTCATGTATCATAATTGCAGATGGCTTTTATTGAGAGGCACAAAGCCAGTATTTGAAATGTAAGAGTTACGTGGTTGGTTTTGGTTTTTCCGTTCCTTCAAAATTGACTGAAGGGACAGATTGTGGGTGCAGCTTCAAAAAGTATATGTTACGCTTGAAAATTGAGATCTATTACCTAGACAGTTTTGGTTTTTTTAACTGTACCCTGCCACAGTCTTTATCCTAAATGATCTTTAATTTTGCAGTGTACATAGCCTCGTTTTTTGTCAACAGCAGTGTTTTGAAGATTTGTTTTGTTTTGTGGGTTTTTTGTTATTGACTACATAATCTGTCTCAATCTCTAAAGCAGCACTATTTGATTTTGTTTCATTGACCTCTTGTGTGCAAGGGTTCTGGTTCTTCTGTTAGGCTCTTAAATCTCTCTGAAAGCTCCTAATGAGTTTTAATGTAGATTTTCACCTGCAAGTTTTGGAAGAACATGGTGAGTGCTCACAGTAGGAATGCATAATGGACAGTTTCCCTTGGCTTCTGAGGTCATACCATGAACTGTGGCTGACTGCACTGGCATTGGGATCAGCTTTCAGAGCCCATGGCACCTGAGCTGTAAAGATAAGGAAGGTCACACTGGGAGAGAAAGCCTGTTAAGGTGTACTGTTGCTTTGAACGCAATCGCTGATGCTCAGAACTGCTTTAGAGAGTGCAGTAGTGGTGCCCATAACTCTAAAGATGGCTTTCAAGATTGTAGGTAGAAAATGATACATAAATTCAAATGATTCAATAGAGAGGAAATTACAGAAAGGGACTGTCTTCAACACCAGAATTTCTACGTTGTGAAATGTGGGCTCAGGTTATTTTGTTAAAGAGCTGCTGATTGAGTTACAAGGTGAGAAAGAACAACTAAGCTAAAATATTAAGCACAAAACCACTGCTGATAAATATTGAAAAACTTGAAACACTTTCTTTTTATTACAGCCTGCTTTTAGCCTCTTGTGCTCTGGCAGTCTGTGCTCCAGACAGCTATCTGTATTGTGAGGGAGGTCACCGTAGGATGGCGGGGGATGCAAAGCTGGATGACTGGGGTTCCTCACAGACCGAGATGAGGCAGTGCAAGGTGTTCCAAGAGGTAGCACCCTGACTTGGCTTTGCTAATGAACCCCTGAGAGAGCCCTTTTCTGTGCTATGGGTGAGGAGGGGAACAGTCCGTGTGGTGGCTAAGTTCATGAATGTGCTGGCACGCACACCTCTGCAGCTCGAGACACTGAAAGCAAGGAGTTGAAATTCATGGAAATGCAGCTGAGCTTTGGTCTTCATGTCCAGTTCTCTGGGACAGAATAGTTCTTTCTGGTTTCATTTCTTCTTGGTGTCTGAAGGTGCGCTGTCCTGCTGGTGCTGTGTCCATGGGTGCAGGGTGTCCCTGCTGGCGCAGTGCCCTCTCACAGGCACAGCTCTTGGACGCTCCTGTGCCAGGCTTCTCAGCTGCCTGGGCTGTTCTGAAATCCATGCCTGAATTCACAGTCTCATCTGCCTCCTCTTCAGAGGGTGTGTAAATGATGGCATGCTGACTTACTCGGATAAATACATTGTGCAATTTGCTTTATTCCTGTCTATAAAAGTTTTATGCTGCTGCCACCACCCTCTTCAAATAAAATTGATCCAAAAGTGAGATGTTGCCTTGTAAGCACAGGAGGCAATTTTTCTTTGAGAGGCTGCCAGGGTCTCAGTATATGTTCTCTGGCACAGAGCAGCTGTGTGGCAGCACCCATACTAGTTGTGTCCCTTTTTTTCCATTGTCGCATGGACACTGACTTACTTTGCTTTCTGGATACTGGGGAAGTGTGGGGTTTGTCACAGAAGAGAAACTTAGAATTTTGACAACTGTTTTAATGAAAGGCCTTGTAGGTATGCTTCTTGAGTGTCAAGTTGAAAGTATAAATTCAAAAGTAAGGAACTTTTTCCATTTTCTTGCAAAAAAAATCCTGACTGGTGATTTTAATCAGCTTTGCTTTCATGTAGGTGGTATTTAACCATTATCTAGCTACAGAAAGGTTCAGAAATGAGCAAACAAAAAAAGGCTTTATTTAGTGTGTGTGCACTTCTCTGTGCCTGCATGTATACAGGTAGGGTAGAATGAGTAAATAAAAGGACAAAAGTTGGCTTGTTATATTTACATTTCATTGGGTTATTGGATCAGGTACAGCAGTATCTAAATACAGTGAACTACTTGATTCTTAGTGGCAAGTATTAAATTAGTGTATATGGTAGTAGCTGGTATGTTTTCAACTAACGAGGTAGACTGGTATGTGTATGCTATTTGAAAATCTGATTTACTTGTAGTTTCCTATGCTAAACACATTGGCAAATTTATTTCAAAAGCTAGTTCATATAAATTTTATTAATTAATTTCAATAATTTGCAACAATGCTGTTTTTTCTTTAAGGTTTTGACAAAGGGAAGGACGATGTGTCACAAAAAGAGGATGCGGCATATTCTATGTCAAAAAGCAAGGTAAGGAAAACTACCTCCTAACCTGTCTTAAAAATGTTGGTATGTAAAGAAGTTACACTTTTTAATTAAGGGCAAATGTATTTAATTTTTTTTGTAGATAATCTTGAAGATTACTCTTCAGATTCAGCAATAGATAAAGATTAAAGGGAATTTCTTAATATAGGTCCCAGGATGACATCACATCCAAAACTGTGGTTCAAAGTAGTGGAAATTAAATATAAAGTCTTCTTGCAGTTGTCTTGGAGTGGGATATTGCCTTCCCGTAGAGTTTAAAGGCTCTAACTTACCCACCTGTGTGGTTTTCTATTTTCTGCTGGGATATCCACTGTCTTTTTAAAGAGGCAAATGTGGTAACAGACATTTAAACAGATTGTTGGGGTGCAGCAGGTGTGGGCTGCTGTGGAAGGTGACAGCTAGCTCCCGGGGGAAAGGGGGAAATTCTCGCTTTTTGGTGCTTTTGCACACAGCTGTTCCCACAGCACTCTGTCCTGGGCGCAGGCAGCCACACCCCTTGGAGATAGGGCTTGCACTCGAGGTCTTGACACAAATTTTTCTGTGGTATTTGATATATCAGAGCCATAAAGAGAAACATTACAAAGATACTGAAGGAAAATGAAGAGGCTTAAAGATTATAGTAGCATTTCCAGGCTTAAATGGTGTCATTGAAATTGCAGTGGGATAAGCAGTTTAGTGTCTGCAGCTGATGCTGCAGTTTTGTAGTGTGTAGCTAAGCATTTCAAACTGTTGGTGTCTTACACGTGACTTGGTATCACAAAACTTTGTATCTTTTTGCTTTACTGCCTCCTAGAGCCTCACCTGTCAGGAATATCAAGGAAGTATACTTTACCATCCAGCTTTCATGTGATCAAAATATTTATATTGGTCCAGAAACCTCCAAATCAGTTTGACTTGGAAATCAAGTTAATATGATCTCTTTCGACTTGGATTTATTTCAGACTCCCAAGAATCATATCTCTTTGACTATCCAATTCCCTTTTCCTCTCCCTTATAATTATTTTTTCTTAGTTGTTGTCTTAACAGGATCTTAAGTCTTTGGGTTCTTTGCTATTATATTTTTTTTGTGTCTTTCTGTCAAAGATGATACCAATATTCCTATTTCTGCTAATATGCTTTTCTTCACCCTTTTTTTTAAATTGCTGCATGTGAGGCTTGATTTTACTAATGGAAGTGAAATAGCAGCCCTTCATCCTAAGGGAGAATGGAAAAGCAGTGATGGGACTTGCCTGGAATCTGGTACTGAATGTACCTTGCTGGGAGTTACAGCAGGTTCTCTTAAAGTGTTTTCTTCTAAATTTTTTATCCCATCTGCTTTGTGTGGATATAGCAGTGAGGTTACTGGCTTAAAAATACACACACAGATCACTGACCTGTCTCATAACATTGAACAGCTAAATGTCAACCTTTACTCAGTGTCATATTAATAAGTTTTAAAACTGAGACAATGAGAAAATTAGTTTTTAAGTAGGAAAATGTATTGGTTCGGGGCTTTTCTATGCATGACCTTTAGATTGCCTTAGCTTTCTGCTGGTGAGCAACTAGAATATTTATGAATGTTTTGCTTAAGTTGTTCCATTATAGCTTGCATAATGAGTTCATTATCTCTTCTTATGTGACAGTGATAATCATTTTTCCCCTCTTCTGTTACTACATTTAACGTACTGTATTTCCTTTAAATTCTAGAGAAATGAATTTAATTTCCAGTTGTACACTCATCTTAAAGCTAAATTTTGAGTGTCAAGAACATACCTTTATTACAAGATGTTTCCTGTATTTTTCCAAGATAGATACAGAAGTTAAAGATCATTTACTTATCATTAAAATAATTTTGAGCTAAAAGTACTTTTTGCCAGTTGTTGCACATGTCTTTTTTACAGTACCCGAGTAGACTCCTGTAAAGTCTTAGTTCTGAATTAAAAATTGAAAGTAGAATCCAGGTTAAATTGTTCTGTACAGATGGTGACTCTTTAGGCATTGTTTCTTTTGTTTGAGCAGCCTGTGAGTTAAGAGAATGCTGAAGTGCACTGTTTTTATTATAGCTGTAAGTTTTACTCAAAGCTTGCATATTTTTGGACTGTCATTTTATAGTATTCCAAAATACAAATTCAGTGAATAGAGTTTGCACTGTCATTTGGGATTTGAAATATGGAACATATTAAGGGTCAGTTTTGATGAAATGTCCTTGAATTTGAATTGAATACTCAATTTAGAATGTCAAATTGTTTTGGTTTGGGGTTTTTTGGAGTTTTTTTTTGACAATGCAGAAGTTTTGGGTCCACCAGGCTTATGTTTCAGTGCACAAAGAAATACAACTCTCTAATTTATCTGAAGTATGTATTTAATGAATACCTACTCGTGTTCGCTGACCTCCAATAAGAATGGTATGAAAATTCTATCACAGACTCCTCTTAGGCTCCTCTTTTCCCTTTTTTTTTTTCCTAAAGAGTGCTGTTCCCAAAATGAATATTTGGTGGTTTGAGTTCCCTTTCAACTAGTAGGCAACAAACCTCCAGGTGCAAACTTTGAACCTTACAAGACATAGGGGAGAGGCGGGGGGAGAAATCATGTGGTGCTGAGGCAGCTCATTGTCCTGCAGGAACGAGACTTGGGTGTCACGAACAAACCTGGGTCTTGTTCCTGCCTGATGCCACTGTGAGCTCCTTGAAGATGACTTGCAAAGTAATCAGAGCGTGGAATTGGGTTCAAGGAGCAGAACAAGTGCCGTTAGTGGGCAGTTGTACTCTGATGATTTACAGAGCACTGAATCCTAGACTGAAGAGGCTGTATTTTCCTTCATGAGTCACAGGGTAAGTGCCTCTATAGCAGTCTGTTTGGAGAAGCTGTCAAGTTGTGGATGAAGACAGCTGATTCTATATTCTGATTCATAGATCTTGGGAATGACTCCTGTGTCAAAACACCTGGATTCTCCTAAAACGTTCTCTCTCTGCTAAAATAATGTCTAACTATTCAAGCACGCTCTGTCTAGTAACAGTCTACATGAGTTAAATACTTGCTGTGTATGGGTCAGCTGCTTCCAAAGGAACCTCAGACTTCTTTCCCATAAAACCCTTACAAAAAGAGACTCCATGAATAGGTGGTGAACAGCTCATGTTACAAGAAGTGGTTTCTTGGTTTGGTTTTTTTTAAGGGGGGAAGCAGTAGAGGAGTGAGAGGGAGTGGGAACCTTACAAACATAATTGCACTTCGCTACAGTGCCAGCATCAGTAATATATTCTTGTATCTGTCATTGTCATTTATTTATTATGTGTGTTGTGAATTTCAGTCTGAATCCAAGCTTTTCAATGGCTCTGAGAAGGACATCTCTCAATCTTCAAGCAAACTTACAAAAAAAGAATCTCTCAAGGTGAATAAATTTCCTAGTAACTCCTCAAGGACTGTAAATGCATTCACATAGTTTTTCCTTATTCTCTAATGAGAAGACAAAAATGCCAGATAATGATGAGACTTAGGGAATATTTAAGTACTGAGAGAAGTTGTGCTGTTGAGTCTCTTCAAATTTTACTTTATTTTTTACTTGAATAATAGCTTCTATAATACAGTCTTTAAGATGGCACAATATTGTAGAATTACTCAGATTATAGATTTTTTCAGATTGGCAGGAACCTCAGGATATCTACATGCAATGAAATGACAAATGGAATTATCAAAATAGCAATTTGAATGCATTTCTACTATCTTCTTCCCTCTGTACTGTAGCAAGACCAAACTCTACTGTTTGGTAGATATAATTTCAATAGAAATGTAAAATTATTTGGATTTAAATGAGGGAGGTACATTCCTGCAAATTTCTCCTAGGGGAGAACATAACTGGTGGGTAAAGACCATAGATCAGATCATGTACCTGTATACTGGGAATTTGATTTGGTTGGTTTTTCCTCCCCTTTGATTCTAACAAGAGTTTCAAAGTCCTCAGTTTAAAAAGAAAATTGCAGAAGAATCTGAAATTGTCTGAATCATAGCTGCTCTTGAAGTAACAACTCTGCACGTTACGCACTTTAAAATCAAATACTCTGTTTTAAAGCTATTTTTCTATACATATCTGTATTGCAAATTGAATTTAGCAGGTTTTTCCTCAGCTTGTATTGGCTGATACATTTTTGTGCTGATAACTGGCTTATGGCCATGACATTGTAAACATTTTTTATTATTTTTTACAGGTTCAAAAGAAAAACTACAGAGAAGAAAAGAAGAGAGCCACGAAAGAATTACTTAGCACAATCACGGATCCCTCAGTTATTGTTATGGCTGACTGGTTGAAGGTCAGAATCCAAGTGTGAAACCTGAGTTGAAGATGGAGCAGTTAGTTGCTTGCTGCTTTCTGGCCAGAATAGAAAAGGCTCAATCTTTTACTTGCTGTTAATGTTTTTCTACAGGCACAGCAGCCACTAATTGCAGCCCAAGGTCCCTGTGCTCAAATCCCAGGGGACTCATAGAGGAACTTAGCTCCCACTTACTGCAGTCATCCTAGTCACATTATTGTTGTGTGCATAGCCATCAATGTGGGATAAGTTCGCTTTGCTGTTCTCATTTTGTCCTTCTCATTTTGCACTTTGAAGTGGCTCTGTTACATACATAACAACTGTAAAAATAATTCAGTGAGATATTTAAATGCAGGTTTCTTTGTGTATTTCTGGTAATTTTCCTTTCTTAAGAACTAGCTGGTTCTTAGTTCTCTTAAGAACGATCTTGAAGACAGCAGTTCATATTATCAACAGTAGTGCAGTTGAATTGTCATGCTTCCCATACCAGGATGTGTGCATACCCTATAGAACTGAGTGTTCATTAAGACAAATTTCTGGTAATTTTCCTTTCTTAAGAACTAGCTGGTTCTTAGTTCTCTTAAGAACGATCTTGAAGACAGCAGTTCATATTATCAACAGTAGTGCATTATCAACAGAATTGTCATGCTTCCCATATCAGGATGTGTGCATACCCTGTAGAACTGAGTATTCATTAAGACAGAAGAACAAGCATACCTTTACATTCTTCAATAAACCTAGGTAAACTTTTGAAAGACCTGGTAAACTTTGCTTTGAAATAAAAGCTAATAAATTTCAATTTTAATTTTGTTAAGGGGGATGGTTTTGGTATTGGCTTCACTGAGATATAAATGTAACTATTTATCTTCTAGATTCGTGGTACCCTGAAAAGCTGGACCAAACTGTGGTGTGTACTGAAACCAGCAGTGTTGCTCCTTTACAAAACTCCCAAAAATGACCAGTGGGTAGGAACAGTGCTGCTGAATGTTTGTGAACTCATCGAGAGGCCTTCTAAAAAAGATGGCTTTTGTTTCAAACTTTTTCATCCTTTGGAGCAGACTATATGGGCTACAAAGGTTAGTGGTAGCATACATGGTTCTTAAGGGATGACTAGTATTAATCAGCTACAAGTAAAGACAACCTCACTGAAAAGTGGGACTGTGTTTCCTGTTTCAGCTTCAGTGGTTTGTGTTGATTCCGAATATAAGCCCTCAACATCTAGTTTCATTCATCAGAAAAAGTGTTTGATTTATGCTGCTCTGTGTACTTAAAGAGCGTCAGAAGTGTGGTGTGCAAAGGGTTGCCATTATAAAGGTTAATGCCATCACTGGCAATCACATAAATTAAAGGAATGTACGTTTAACATTATATTTTACATCAGTCCAATCTCACAAATTAAGGTGAGATTTGCCAAAATGAAAGAGTTTTGTTATAAACATTTCTTGGTGTTCAACTCTATATTAATGTACTAAAATGTCACCTTAGTTCAATTTGCTTCTAAGAGTCAAAAAGCGGATTACTTGCTTGTGCATTAATATTGCAGCTTGTTAGCCAAATCTCTTCCTTTTTGTTATGATGATAGGATGATAAATGTTTTCATTCAGTTCTGATGTATGTTTGCATTGTCCTACACGGCATAATATTGTGAGCAGCTCTTACCTGTGTTGAAAAGCACAGGTGTGTTCTGCAGAGCAAAGGTTTGTTTCAATATCTTGTAAGGATCTTTAATGATTGCTCTTACTCATTGTTTATAATCTGATAAAGTATTTTAGTCCTTGGTTTGTGTTTACATGTGGAGAGGGGATGTGGAAGCACAGCACAAGTGAACATATTTTTCTTCTGAAATAATGTCTTGCTTTAGATGAAATTACTGTACAATATTAGGACCCTTGTTATAATTAATTAATTGTACCCTCTAAAATATACATCTTACAATCTCACAATTAGTAGCTATCTTCTAAATCTTAAATTGATATAGATGTATTGTCACATCTGTAGAATATGCTGTGTTAAATTTGTCACCCTTTTCTTAAGGAAGTCAGTATGATTCCTGATACTTGTGGTCATTCTGGATTTATCAGTGTTTTCTAAACTTACCAAACTTAGATCAAATCACCTGTAGTTTCTTTTGAATAATTTTATTTAATTATTGTTTAGGCAAACTTTCCAGTGATTAGTGGTGATCTCACATTTGCACAACTCAAACTCCATATCCTTTTCCAAAGCTATAGCATTTGGTGTTAATGTGCTTTTTTATGATACATATATATATATATACATACATTGCAAAGTGGTGGCCTGTCTGCGGAAGATCACAAATCAGTCTTATATTTCTTTATTGCTTGGCAATGAGAAATGGATTTGTTTGTTCTTTTAACTAGATATTTAGAATTTAGAGGACATGCCCTCCCAGATTTTTACTTTTTTAAGGTAGGTCAAATTTTGAACCTGAACAAGTTGATATTGTCCATTCTAAATGTGCTGAGAGCTGGAGTGGCGTTTGTTCATTTTGGTATGGCTATTTGCAGTTGAGAATTCCTGGATTTCATTAGATTAAAGACCTTTAAGTTTGAAACTCTTTTCTGCCTTGTTTACCTAGTCAATCAAAATGTCCTAGTTACAGGTTTATTATCATGAGGCAAATTTGCATAAGTGTAATGGCAATTGACTGATCTAGAGTAGATTTAGCACAAAGAGCCTCAAGTCCAAGGCAAAGTGAGCCTTGTTTGCAGTTAGTGCAGAAAGATAGCATTGCAAAAAACATACATAGAGCTATAAGTACTGCAGGAGATTTTCTTAGTTGAACACACTACCCATGGTGTGTCTATCTGTCAGACTGCAAATTCTCTTCTGCAGTAGTTTGTGGCCAGTCACATGCTCCCTTAAGCCTGTTGCTGTGGTCTTTGATGTTCTTCCTGCACTCTGAAGTAGCTGATGCACTGTACCTTCATTGTCTTCCTTTTGTGCCTGGTCCTGATGCCATTTCAGTTTTCTGAAATTATTAATTAGAAAAGTTAATTAAAATAATTTTTTTCTGAGTAAATTTAGTCAGGGGTGACTGTGTATCAGTTTTCCTTGCTGTCTTTGAAACAATGTTCATGGCATCTGCGCTTCATTGGCATGAATATTCTGTAAGAAGTAAACTTCAACATTTTTTAATCTAATGGAATTTTTAACTTGACCATTGGCTTGGAGTAGTAGCATCATTCCACCAGTAACAGAGACAATCCAAATAAAATCACCCAGCAAACAGAAATTAATGTGCCTCTTGTACAGATCACTAACTACTGGAAATTGGTTTTGAAACCATAATGGGTGATACCAAAGTAAAGTATCCAGTGCTGTTGGAGCCATAATCAGTTAGAGGAAATCAAGATCCATGAGCAGTTATATAAAATAAGTCAACTTACTTAAATACTTCTTTGCTAAAAATTACTCACTTGGTTTTAATCAATATATTGTTAAAACACTTAGGGAGTGTAACTTTCTTGCGTTAAAAAACAAGGCAAAACCAGACACCAAAACCACACTTCATTTCTAAATTGTAAGTAGCATACCCTGAAGTGCCCACTGGGCAGTTCTCATGAGCAGAAGTCTGCCCTTAGTCTTCCCCGGTGTCCTGTGACCCAAGAGTTCCAAGGCCTTCTGGTGGCTGAGGCCTTTGCCCGGTGCTGGCAGCACCCCAGCAGCTCTCCCAGCCCAGCCTGGTGTGGTGCCATGGTGCTCTCTTCTCCTCAGGTGACACTGGGCTTCTTCCCTGCCTTCCCACCCTTGGGGTGAGGAGTGGTCATGCATTGGGGTTGTCCCTCTTGGTTCTTGGTACCCACTAACTCCTAATCCCAGTGCTGCTGCCTCACCAAAGGCTTTTTGTAGGCACACCTTTCCTCTCTCTCAGAGGGAGGCTGAGGTTTGGAATTTTGTTTTTAGCACCCAATTGCTGTTACTCCTCAGGAGTTTCTGACCATCATTTACACCAGCACTAGCTTGTCTGTATTGGTATTTAAGTGCCACCAAGACTACTCCTTAACCTGCTTCTCGCCCTCAGAAATGTTCTGGCTGTTTCATTTGCTTGCTTCTAAAATTACCTGCCTTTATCTGCTTTTGCTCAAAACTTCTGCTGGCTTTCCAATTCCCTCTTCTAAGCCTTATACTGGCTTTCCATTAGGCTTCTCTGGGGGAAATCAGTAAAGATCAAAATATGTTAAGTCATCAGTTAGGCAGGCTTAACCCAGCTTTCAGCAATAGCTTCAAGTATGTTTAATACAGCCCTCTTTGCCTATCAGTTTTCTTAAAGTTATCATAGATAAACTTTTTTTGGAAGGGACTTCAAAATGGTTATTTAACATTTTATTCCAAAATGAAGGTTGACAGAAATGGAAAAGTCTTTTGAATGTTTTTTTAATGTGAAGTGTGAAAAACTTCACGGTAAATAAAAAATAAAACTTTGGCCAAGTCTGATTTATACAGCAAAAAACCAAGCCCCCCCCCACCTCCCCCCCAAAAAAAACCCAAACCAATCAAAAAACTGCACCCAAACCAAAACAACACCAACCAACCTAAACTTTGTTTTTTTTAATCACAAAGATCATTCTTTTGAAATGTGGGCTTGAATTGGGTCCCATACTTAGAATGAAGTCTTTGAAGAAGAAATCCAGTGAAAGAGGGCTGTCCATCTTTCCATTCATGTCTTCATTAGATGTTGCTGAGTGACAGTAAATGGCCCTGCAGTGTGTCAGCTTCTTACTATATTGAATGATAAACTGTAAAATGAATTAAAATATCTGATGCTGTTTCTTGTTTTGTGTATTTCAAGGGTCCTAAAGGTGAAGCAGTTGGTGCTATAACTCTGCCATTGCCCAGCAGTTACTTGATCATCCGAGCCACTTCAGAATCAGATGGTAAATACTTCATTGATTTTCAGCAATGAGAAAGATGTTTCAATTGTCTTATCATGTCTGTTACAGCACTTTGATTGCAGTTTAATTGTTGTTAAGGTTTTCCTTTAATTTAGAGCATTCAGTTATGTTGGTACTAGTACTTTTTCATGGTTATTAAAGGAGAATATTGATCTAAAAGAAAAGTTATTGAACTCCTTGCAGTTGCCTTTTGTTGACAGGGTAGAGGAGGGGGAAAGGGTTATCTGTGATTTAGCTATATTAATGTATATCTAAGTATCAAGTGCCTTTGTAAAGTGCTAATATTCTTATTAAAGCATTTCTTTGTTAAGTGCAGCAGTTGCACAGAGTTCTAGTAGCAAAAATTTCTTCAAAATGTCGTTTTGTAAACACCCTTTACTGGGAAGGTGGTGATCAGTGCAACTACCTTCCAAAGTTACAATGTGAAAAAAAATTTAAGACTGTTATGTAGCTGTTTCTAGCAGGTGCTTTTCATGTACTGGTTAATTAGGCATACCCCTGCAGACTTCAAAGATAGGACTCTCTCTGCCTTCTGTATTGAGAAATGGATTAGATACATGGAAAAGAAGTAAGGGGAAAAAAACCACAATTTTGTTCAGTTACTTTTTGCCAAAAGAAATTAGAATATCTGCTTTTTATCTTTTGAAATGTTATTTATATGCTGTCATTATAGCTCTTTTTCCTCACGATTATCATGTTACTTGGGCAAATTTTGCCAAATGATGCAATTACTTAGTCTTCATAACTAGAGCAGGGCTGAAGGCAACTTTGGGGGCATTCCACAGTCGTGGCCTGGGTGGAACCAGACTTGCATTAAGGAAGAATTGCTGGAATATGCTCTGATAAATCATGATTTACCTTGCTTGTCCTTCCCTGAAACATCCCTTGTGTTGAAGCTGGGTGGTTGGGAGTTGTTTTTATGTTTTTATGTTTTTTATTTTACCGTAAAATGCAATGTGTGTAACATGGAACAACTCTGATGTGTGTCTTCAAAGGCAGTGCAAGCAGGCCCAAAGGGCTGATTTTCCTAGTTAGGAAATAGAAGTGGTGTAGTTCTGTTAAATCCTTACGTTTTAGTCTAATATTAAATTTGTCTTTAGGCAGGTGTTGGATGGATGCTCTGGAGCTGGCACTGAAATGTTCAAGTCTGCTTAAGCGTACAATGACTAGGGAAGGTAAAGAACACGATTTGAACTCCTCAGCCGACAGTACTCATGTCTCTTTCTACGGTCTGCTCCGTCCTAACAACTTGCACGGTGGAGACAATTTACAGTAAGTGAATTGATTACTAAACCTGATTGCTTTTTGGCAGAACCTTGTAGTGATAATTTCGCCACAGGGAGGCTAAGGCTGCTTTTTTTTTTTTTTTGCTCCCGAGTTCTTTTTACATGCCTTATTTGCAGTGTGGTTTACACCCTGCACATAAAATGAAAAAATCCTTTTTTAAGCAAAGTGGATCCAGGGGAAATTTGGCCCAAGGAACTTAGAATATTGAATCAGTAAGTTTAAGTACTCAGTTAAACTGTTCAAAATAGAAAAAATGAAAATTTTAAGTTGGTGTCTCTTGTTAGCTTCAGCGGAAAATCAGAAGCTTAGTGCACATGACAGAAGTCGGTAGATGTGAATTTGAGTTGCTGTTCTTTAGTTAAAGAAATAAATAATCCTTTATTTAAATGGTTTCAGCATGAATCATCAGATGGATGAATAATAATTCAGTCACCTTATGATTAAATGCATTAAAGTTGAAATTGTCTTATATCACCTGATATCTAAAGTCTGAGAGCCCTTGAGTTACTCCCTGATTATTTCAATAAATACTTTCAGCCAGGTTTTTGTGAGCACAAGCGTCTGTGGAAATAAATTAAGTGTAGTGAATGAATGGCTGTAGTGGGTTGACTGTGGCTGGATGCCAGGCACCCACCAAGGCCTCTCTCTCACTGCCCTGTGCAGCTGGATAGGGAGAGAAAATTTAACAACGGGTTCATGAGTTGAGATAAGGACCACAGGAAGTCACTCACTAAATACTGTCATGGGCAAAACAGGCTTAAGTTAGAGATATTAATCAAATTTATTACTAACAAAATCAGAGCTGAATGAGAAGTAAAATAAGACCTTAAAAAACACCCCTGCCTCCCTTCCCCACCCCTCCTCCTTCCCCAGCGGCACAGACAGACAGGGAGTGGGGGTTTCCAGCTGCTGCTTAGGGAGAGGAGTCCGCCATGAGGTCCCTTCCACAGGAGATAATTCTCTGAACTTCTCCAACATGAGTTCCTCCCACAGGCAACAGTTTTCCACAACTGCTGCCACGTGGGTCCCTCTTCCACAAGGGCAGTTTTTCAGGCACAGCCTGCTGCAGTGTGCATCTCCCACTGGGTCACAGGTCCTAGCGGGAAGTGCTCCAGCACTGGCTCCTCTCCCAACAGGTCTGCAGGTCCCTGCCAGGAGCCTGCTCCAGCACAGGCTTCCCATGGCTTTACAGCCTCCTCTCAGGCATTCACCTCAGTAATTTTCCACCAGTTCAATATACTTTGTGAAGATTTAGCTGTCCATTTGTCTTTTCTGTGTGGGCAGGAATTCTGTACTGCTGTTATGAGTATGCTGCTCCAGAGTGAGACCTGGACTGGGAGAAATGCAATTCTTTCTATGCAGTGCATAGATGGTCTGAGAAAAGCACAAAAAAGGCAAATGCTTGCCCCCTGCAACAATTAAAGGCCCTATCCAGATGACCAATCTTGGCTCAGCTGCAGATTAGCACCTTCTTTTCACTCCTAGGAACAATATGAGTGCTGTGTACAATTCCACTGGAGATCTGCACTCTGGAATAGTAGTTTAATATCAGCTGCTGGCCAAGATTACAATCACAGCAGTCAGCTACAAATGTTCATTAATTAAGACTAATGCTTTAATTAAGTACATTTTCTGGTATAGCATATTCTTAGAGTATTCAGTGTGCTTAACTGTCTAAGGAGCAAAACTGGCAGGTCTAGCTTTAATTGGGTGGCAGAAGAGGGAGAAGAAAGGTGAAAGCAATTTTAGCTTCAGCTGAGAGAGCACTTTTTAAAGTAGGTTAATAGCAAGAGAAGGTTCAAGGAAAACTTTGGACTGATACTTGTTGAAGATGGTCACCTGAAAAATAGGGATGAAGAAAAAGCAGGCACGTTCACCGCTTTCTTTTTTTTTTGCCTCAGTCATTAATACTAACAGTAGACTGGGCTGCCTGATCTCCTTGACTTGGAGGCCTGTGAGTGCAGGATCAGTGATTTTCCATTTGTGAGCACTGAAATTGTAAGAGACCAGTTGCATCAGCTGAATATTTGTAAGTCCATGTGGTCTGATGTGATTCATCAGAATAGTTGGAGGAGCTAGTTGATGTTATGACAGGATACTTCTCAATTGTCTTCCAAGGGTCTGGGGAGTCTGAGGAGGTCCCCACTGACTGGAAACTAACCAACAGTATTCAGATTTACAAGAAAGGCCTGAGGAAAGACCCAGGAACCTATAGACCTGTACTGAGACTAACCTCAGTACATGGAAAAATTGTGGAGAAGATGATACTGTGTTCTGTTGGAAGACATTTAAAGAACAATGAATCACCAGACACAGTCAGCATAGGGAAAGTCACATTTAGCTGATAAGATACCCTTCATAAGATAAGGTCAGTTGCCTGCTAGATGAAGGTAAAGCAGTGGATGTTGTCTTTTGGATTTTATAAGGCTTTTGAGATTGTCCCTCACAGGATCATTTTGGATAAATTGTTCAGCTGTGAGATGAGCAAGGTCAAACCAACAGTATTCAGATTTACAAGAAAGGCCTGAGGAAAGACCCAGGAACCTATAGACCTGTACTGAGACTAACCTCAGTACATGGAAAAATTGTGGAGAAGATGATACTGTGTTCTGTTGGAAGACATTTAAAGAACAATGAATCACCAGACACAGTCAGCATAGGGAAAGTCACATTTAGCTGATAAGATACCCTTCATAAGATAAGGTCAGTTGCCTGCTGGATGAAGGTAAAGCAGTGGATGTTGTCTTTTGGATTTTATAAGGCTTTTGAGATTGTCCCTCACAGGATCATTTTGGATAAATTGTTCAGCTGTGAGATGAGCATGTGCTGTGTGTCGATGTGCTGGTTGAAGAACTGGGTGAATGGCAGGACGCAAAGGGGTGTGGTGAATGGGGCTACATCTGGCTGGTGACACCAGCAGTGTCCCTCAGGGCTCAGTCATGGGCCTGTTCAGTTCAGTGTTTTGATCAGTGATCTGCATGTAGGAGTTGAATGCACTCTTATCAAGTTTGCTGACAATACCACACAGGGAGGTGCTGCTGACTCGCTCAAGGGATGAGAGGCCTTGCAAAGCGATCTGCATAGATTGGAGAGTTGGGCAATCATCAATGGCATGGAATTAAAGAAGTCCCAGTGCCTGATTCTGCACCTAGGGCAGAGTAATGCCAGGAACATGAATAAATTGGCAGAGGAGTGGCTGGGGAGCAGCCCTGCCCTCACAGTGGCCTGAGGTGGGTGCAGGGCCAGATGAGGGGCAGTGGAAAGGGGCCAGGGGGTCTGTCTGACAGCGGAATCAACATGGGTCAGCAGCGAGCCATAGCAGCCAAGAGGGCAAAGACCATCCTGGGGTGCATCAAACAGACATGAACCAGCTGGTCAAGAGAGGTCAAGGTCATTGGCTGCTATATTCAACATTTGTGTGGCCTCACCTTGAGGGATGTGTGCAGTCCTGGGCCCCAAAATTTAGAAAGGTTATGAAGGTTCTTGATTATATTCTGAGGAGGAGCAACAAATCTTGTTAAAGAGCTGGAAGGCATGGCCTGTGAGGGGAGGGACTGAGAACTTTCAGTTTGTCTAGTTTTGAGAAAGGGAGGCTGAGATGCAAACTTAGATCTCTCTTACAGATTTTTGAGGAGAGGAACTGGAAAGGGAGGTGCTGAATTCTTCTCCCTGGTATAGAAGCATGGGAATGGTTTAAAGTATCATCAGAAGAGGTTTAGACTGGACATTATGGTCCAACGTCAGAGCATATGGAACAGGCTTCCTAGAGAGGTGGTTGATGTCCCAGGCTCATCAGTGTCATTTGACATTTCAGTGAGAAGAGTATACGTCCTATATGTTTCCAGCAAGGCTAGTTTGACACTGCTGCCACCTCAGGCTTGATACTGGCAATTTTGGTGTGTATTTTAAGATCCTGGTTTGGAAACAATAAAATGATTGCGTGAAGTTGAAGATTCATTTAGCCTTTGTTTTCAACAGGTTAAATGACAGTGAAATTGAGAGGCATCACTACAAAGATCAAGATACATACTCTGACAAGTCTGATAAGGAAAATGACCATGACCACGAGGAATCTGATAACGATGAGCTGGGGAAAAGTGAAGACAGCGACAGTGACACATCAGAGCGACAGGATGATTCTTATGTCGATCCAGAACCAATTGATATCAAGGAAACTACTTACGTAGAACAGAGTCATGAAGAACTTGGGGAGGTAAAAGTGCTGTTGAAGTACTAAACAAGCAGCTTCTCCAAATAGTAAGCTGATATTTTAAGGGTCAGGCTACACTTGAAAGCTGACTTACAGGATTGGCTTTCATATTTTCAGCAATAATGTATAGAAGAGGTTCTGTTCACTCATATTCTGCTCTGATTTGCCATTCTTGTGCTAATATATGAGATTTTAACAGAGATCATGAAATTACCTGGCATTTTGCTCAGACAGAAGGTACAGAAAGGACCTCCTGCAGCAGAGATTCGTCATGACTACTTGTTCTTTTGTTTTTACTTCTGTTTGGGTTTTATTAACTTAGTCCTGTTTTTTTCTTCAAGAAAATCTTCGAGTTGAATGTTTGAATGCAACCTGACACTTCTTTTTTTTCTCCTGCAAGAGAGAAGTTAAGCAGTTGTAATCTGCAGAATTTAGTGGAAGGCTTGCTGTGCTTCTGATGTCAACTTGTATTCTAATGATTCCCCAGAGCTGCTATTCCACTTCTGCAGGTTGTTTTATGTATTTGCCTATACAGGCAAATATGACAGGGATTTGTAAACCAAAAATCTTGGAAACAGAAATTGAAATAAGTCTTTTCAGAAATCTCCTCTTTCTCCTTAAGAGAAATGACTATGAGTTTGGTTTTTTTTTTTATACTCATGGAACTTGAATATCTTATGCTTTAGTGCTTTCTAGTAAAATGTCTATACAAAGCTGTGTTTCAGGAAAAGCTGAGGAGTTTTAAGTCACATTTTTGAGTATGCATTTTAGAATTGTTCTGGAAAAAGGGATGCCTTTCCTTGCTTTTCCTACAACCATTGCTCTTGATTTCAGAAACTATATAATAGTTTAGTAGGGGATAATATCTCCCCTCCTCTTGGACAGAAAGCAGCATGGAGTGTGGCTGCTGGTTTTGCTCAGTTACCCCTAAGTGGTGCATTTTCTTTAAGGAAAACCACTGATGCTACTGACTGATTCAAGGCAGTGAAAAGCACAGATATGTCAGCTTTTGTGGTTGGGAAAAGCTGCTAGAATGAACAGCCCTTCGGTGTTTGTCTTGCATTTGAGAAGAGAGAGTAATGCAGGTGATGCCTAGGAAAGGACTAAGGAAGGATTTCTGAACAACATCCTACCTCAAAATTTTCTAGCCTAGACATGATGAAAACAAATGCGGTTTTTAATGCTGAATAGTAAATCTATCATACTTCATTAAAGATGTATCATAAGTGTATTTATAGAAACTTGATCTAACTTGAATAGTTGCTTCAGCATCTCAGAATGGTTTATTTTAAGTATCCATTTCCCATTCTCACCACAACCTTAGAATGTGTTGACCTGTCTTCTGGAGGATTGTTTGCTTTCTCCTTTCTGTAAGCAGTTTTTTGGCTCATCCTAGGCAGGTGAGGCTGCTCAGACAGAAGAAGTGTCAGAAGAAAACAAAAGTTTTATCTGGACACTACTGAAGCAAGTTCGACCAGGGATGGACTTGTCCAAGGTTGTACTGCCTACATTTATTTTGGAGCCTCGTTCTTTCCTGGACAAGCTCTCTGATTACTACTACCATGCAGACTTTCTGTCTGAGTAAGTCTCTGGTTTTCATTCTTACCATTTTTTAAATTAAAATAGAGTAACAGTGTCAGATACTGTCATTTTCTGAAAGCTAAGTGCCTTGAGAGCTTATAGGTACATCTTGAAGTCTGGCCTCTCTTATAATTTAATAGCAGTCATGTTGCAGGCATTTCTGGTTTAGCTTCTGAAGACTTCTGAAAATGAGTTTAATTTTTTTTTCTCCAAGAAGCATATTTAAATATGAGATACCAATACTGGTTATTTTTTAATCCAGTGTTAAGTTCTGTCCAGATTTACAGTTGCCAGCTCAAATGTAGCTAATAAATTAAAGACTGTAAATTGAAATAATATTCAGCTCAGACTTCTGCATGTAAGTAAGCTGGTAGTAAAAAGATACCAAAGTAGTAACCTATAAATGGAAGAACTTGAGTGGGAATGGGACAGAATTTAATGTTCCAAAGAACAGACTCAAATATGGAAATACCATTTCTGGCATTTAGTTTGACTTCAATTTTAAAACAATTATTTGAGAACTTTAAATTTGGTGAGCTTGGACTTGAAGCTTTATAGTAGTGCAAATCACAGACCTGTTTTAATCAGCTCATAGATTCAAGATACGTCACAACAATTGATAGCATGTTATACATGATGCAATACAGGTACTTGACCTGTGTGTTCTGTTTCACAGAGCTGCTCTTGAAGAGAATGCTTACAACCGCATGAAAAAAGTAGTGAAGTGGTATTTGTCAGGATTCTACAAAAAGCCAAAGGTATACTTTCACATATTATTTTGTCTTCAGTCACTGTGTCTAGTTTGAGGACTTAGGGATATGCTGGAGTAAGTTTTTTTTGTTTGAATTTATGTTTTAATGCATTTTTTTAAAAAGCAAAGTTAAGTTTTCATTGCTTACACAAACACAACCTGGAAATTTCTGATCCCTAGCCATGCTTAAAATAGACTATATTCAGTTGTGTTTGTCCCATGGAGTAGAAATTGAACTAAATATTTTTTAATAAAGTTGAGCCAGTTCTATATTTACCATTCTTCAGTGATAACAGTCTGAAATTGGAAGACTAATGTTTCTACCACTTCATTTAGCTTTGCACTAAATACTCTTCTTAGTAATGTTGTTGGGAAATAGTATTGACAGAAAGTACTTGCTACCTAACTTCAGACAAAAGCTCTGTAATAATTGTGAAAAGAAAAAACAAAACCAAAAACCCTTACATTCTGTGTGTCCTTATGTGTAGAATAGTTTAGTGGATATACTGAATATATGATAATTTCCTTAGAGTGAAGAGCAGACTAATTGAGCATAATATTCAAATGATGAAATCAAGTACCATGTACTTCAGCATATATATTATGATAATTTTTTTTCCTGTGTTTTTCTTATCTTCAGTGATAGATGATAAAATGTTTTGTGACTTGTGTACCTGCACAGTATGGTTACTCTCTATTCAATTTCTGTTTAGGGACTAAAAAAGCCGTACAATCCTATACTTGGAGAGTTTTTCCGCTGCATGTGGATTCATCCAAGGACAAACAGCAAGACTTTTTATATTGCAGAACAGGTAGATGTAATAACTGGAAACAGTAATTTTAAGAAAAATAAATGTATTCTACATTTGTGCTAGTTAAATTCTATGGTAGTTTCAAAAAAAGTATTGAAGTGTATGAATAGTACTCTAAAACTTCTGGTGAGCATAGTTTTCTTTTAGTTGTCTCTTTTAAGTGTGCCTTCCTAAAGAGAGAGAGGGAGGAAGGCGTTTCCAATATTTCTGTTCCTCTTCCCCTGGAACAAGTCAACTGCTGATTTTCTTAACTCTTGAAATTCAGTAGGTGATTGCTTTATCTCTAAAGATTTTAGTCAAACTTCACATATATTAACTGCATTCTATTATGTGCAGCATGAATTTTGCATTGTCATTATTAGCTCAAAGTTTATACGATATTTACTATATTGCTTGTTTTTATTTGTCTCAAATACGGGTTTTTTTTCCAACAGGTGTCACATCATCCTCCAATATCTGCCTTCTATGTTAGCAACCGCAAGGATGGGTTTTGCCTTAGTGGTAGCATTCTGGCCAAATCAAAATTCTATGGTAAATAATGAGGTTTTTTGGTTCTATGTGTATTGAGGGATGCAAAATTGGTGCATGTGAGCAGTGTTTTGTGCATGAAAGAAGGCTGTTAGAAGGATCAGTGTTTTGGTTGTTGTTTTGTCCTTTCCTTACAAAGTTTTTGCTACTGGTCTTCAGAATTTTAATTTCTATTTTTGGAGTGTTTTAATATTTAATTGGAGGCACTGTGTATTACAGTGCCTTCACTAGGAGAGGTTGCAATGTTAAATACACTGGTATTCTTAATTGTATTGCTTAGTTATTAGGGAGTGTTGACTGTTGTCTTGCAGGGGGAGAAATGTTGTTGAGGCGAACTCTCCGTGTGTGGAGACACAAGGCTTGACTCCCATTTCAGAAGGCTGATTTATTATGTTAAATATTATATTAAAATACTACATTAAAACTATACTAAAAGAACAGAGAGATCAGAAGGCTCAACAAGAATAGAACAGAATGGAATAACAAAATCCTGTGACTCCTCACAGCCTTGGCACAGGTGGCCATGATTGGTCATCAATGGAAAACAATCCACATGGACCAATCACAGATGCACCTGTTGCATTCCCCAGCAGCAGATAGTAATTGTTTACATTTCTCTCCTGAGGCTCCTCAGCTTCTCAGGAGAGGAAAAATCCCAGCAAAGGATTTTTCATAATATCATGGCTACAAAATGTGACTGTCTGTTTTTGAATTTCAGGGAATTCATTATCTGCCATACTAGACGGAGAAGGACGGCTAACATTTCTAAATAGGGGAGAAGATTATGTAATGACAATGCCATATGCCCATTGTAAAGGTAGTGGTTCTTTTCATTCTCTAGATGGCAAAGTTATGAGAAAAGAAGTTTGTTATTCTAAATAGTTCATTATTCTAAATAATGTGCTGTGTTGGATTCAAGCCTGTCATCTGGAGTGTTCTGAAGATTGGTGGCTCTAGGCTTCCACATATTTTATCAGGAGAAAAATACATCTGTTTAAGCCATGTTTTCATTTTTGACTGTTATATGTGCCTCCTCGAGCCAGGTCTCATAAGCTCTTGGAGGTATATAACACACCCAAGATAGCTCAGCTACCTTTGGAGGCATAAAATCAGCAGGATGGCTTCTGTTTGCACTGTTTGAAACAAAAAGGTTTAATAAAAGGCAAAATAACAAGCAGAAAAAAAACTGAGCCAGGTGCAAGAAGTTCTTTCTCCTGGTAAAACACCTCACAAAAGCCATTAGTTTCTTTGTTCACATCCTTTTCTAAAAAAATTTATCTGTAAATTGCCCAGGCAGGACTTTTTTGCTTTTGTCCAGTTAGCTATCCTTAAGTTTGAGGTGAAGTCCCCTAGGCCTATGAGATGCCTTTTCACCTGATTGAGGAGAGAAATTTCTGGGCTTCTTTCCTTTTTAGGGGGACAAAGGATAGTTTTGCCACCCTGTCAACAGGGGGCACATTCCTACATTTGACACAGGAAAAGATTTTTTTTTCATAACTAGTAAAAAATAGTAAGATCATATAGATAGTTATCTGTCAGTACATGATATTAATTTACTTTTTGAGTTGTCTTTTATTAGAGCAGCTTTGAGCTTTTCCACTTTTCTCCTCTTTTAAACATAAAAGGCGATGTAGTATCTACACCACAGTGTGATTTGATTATAAATTATCAACATTTGTCCTTCGTTTCACTATGGGAAATGGGTCAGTGCTTTGTAAAGTTTTCTGGAAGGTCAATAATAGTACAAAATAGATTGAAGAATTGCTCATTTTTAAGCTGTAACTTACTCAGTATTGTCTGTCCATATACTCCAGAATTCCCTTTCAGGATACACAGAATCACACAGGAAAGGTCATCTAAAAATACAATTTTTCCTCTGGCACTAGGATGTTTACTCTAGTCCCCAAGTAACTTAGGGCTTTTGTTTTGTTCAATTAAAAACATTTGTTTTAGCTGGGGGTTTTTATTTTGTTTTTGGGTTTTTTTTTTCTTTTGCAGGAATTCTTTATGGAACCATGACCTTAGAGCTTGGAGGAGTAGTCAACATCACCTGTGAGAAAACTGGCTACAGTGCAACAATTGAATTCAAACTCAAGGTTAGTGAACACTGAGTGGGCATAAGAAGGAGAATGAACATAATGTCCATTCCCACAAGCTAAACAAAGGTTTCTGAAGTACTTCTAGATGGCTTCTGAAAAATGCATTTGCCGTCCATGAGGTGGAAACTGATTAAAAAACCATTTTCGAGAAGTGTGCACATGGAGAGGGAAACTGTATTCAGTTGAAATTACAGGGGAAACATTAAAGTTGGGAGGCTGTGTTAACTGACAATTTGCCATGTCAGTCCACAGGATACATGTGCAGCCTGTCAAAAGGCCAAAGAAAATCCCTGGCAATCATTGTTGCTGTTTCTACAAAAGATAATCTCCAGTAATGAATGGTCCTTGGCAAAGCCATGAAATTACTGTAGCAAATGACTGTGTCCTTTGGGATATCATGTCACTTTTATGCCTTATTTTCTGTTTTCTTTCAACATATGTTAGACAATACTTTTACTCAGAAAATCTTTTAAGAAGGAAAGAAGAAACTACATACTCTGGTTTTAGACTTCTTTAAGATTAATATTGTATCTTGTACTTATTAAAGATATCAGGGCTGTTTACAGCACATTTCATAAATTCACATTTTTCCTTAAGATTAAACATATAAACAAAAATAGTATGTTATTAAAATAACATATAAACAAAAATAGTATGTTATTAAAATAAACATGAAACCATTTGTTTTTGTTTTGCAGCCTTTTTTGGGTAACAATGACAGTGTTAACCAAATATCAGGGAAAATTAAGCTTGGCAAAGAAGTTCTGGCTTTTTTAGACGGTCACTGGGTAAGTAGTGAGTGATGCTCTTTTATAAATTCTGGCTGATGGTTGAGACAGGTGAAAATAGCACTTAAGTACAAAAAAGACTCATGTTTTAAAAAAAGCAAAGTACTACTTTTGCAGAAAGTATTCCAGAAAGTATAGAATCAACATTGTTCGATTTCCAGTTCTTCAAAGGTGGAAAAGTTTAAGTTTATGAAGAAAATGAAATGTTGCTTCACAATGAATCTTGTGAAATGTTTTGGTATATGCATTAGTACTATGAAGAATTTTTATGGCACCAGCATGAAATATTTAAGGTTGTTTCAGTTCTGGGGAGGTGACATGGCATCACTCGTTTTTGAATGTGGTAATGATTCCATTGCATCTGTGTTCCAAGCTAGAACCTAGCACAGAGGGTAGAAATTGAATTTTCAAGTCAGCATATCTAATTATTCTTACTGCATGCATTCTAAAGAAAATAAATTCTTATTACCAAAAAAAAAAAAAAAAAGGCTTATTCCTTGCTTTTTTGTTATTTTGACACTCTGAGATAATTACAATTAAGAAACCAATCATATCTGTTACAGGACAGTGAAGTTATTATTAGTGAGAAGAAGACAGGTGTTTCAGAGACATTCTGGAACCCAACATCTGAGATGAAGCAGCATAGATTACATAGATATACTGTGAAGCTTGAAGAGCAAGATGACTTTGAGTCAGAGAAGTAAGTGCACTATAGAACCATGTATTTATTTTTTCCAAAATAAAATTCATAATCTTCTCCAAAATAGAAGCAAATTATCTTTGCTGTCCCATATTTGATGATACTAGCCTTTGATGATAAAAGAAAGTAATACTGTTAAATATAAGATCATTATTTATATACCTCACAATCAGAGAAATCTTGATAGAAATGTAGATAAAACTTCTGTTAAAACGGTCATATTCTCTTTGGAGGGTGGTCCATTTACTTAGCCTATAATTGAGGAAATTGTTTGCAGTTATTTCTGTCAACTGGATTGTGATTCTGTATATTGTTCATTTGTCAGGCTTTGGCAACAAGTGACAAAAGCAATAAATAACAAAGACCAAATAAAAGCTACTGAGGAGAAATATGTTCTGGAAGAGGCTCAGAGAAAGAGTGCCAAAGAGAGGAAACTTAAGGGTGAAGAGTGGACATGCAAGCTGTTCGATCAGGATTCAGTCACAGGAGAATGGCACTATAAATATGCTGAGTGAGTTCTGGAGTGCTTGGTAATGTTGCTGAGCCTCTTCCTGTGGTTTCAGCAGCAAAAGAACTGATGCATATAGATTATTTATGTATAATAACATAGCTGTGCTATGTTCTAGATTTTTTGGGGCATGGCAGTTTGGGGTGCATTGTCCTCCCTTTTTTCCCCCTAGACTGACCAGAACATCTACACAGATTTCCCCAAACTGGAAAATATGGTACATATGGGCATACCAGCTGGAAATCAGAAAATCTAGTGTCTGAAAATCAGAGAAGCCTATGCATAGTTGGATTGAGCCATTTAATTTGTTATATATTAGAATAGCTCTGAGAATAGCAGCTTTACAGAAATAGTTAATGCTGGGACCAGGTGGCTCTGCCTGGCTGTCAAATCTGTCCTGCACATGAGTGTCTGTGAATCTCTTTGTGTGATGTTCTGTGTCAGAAGCTGAAGATGCAGCTGTCTCCCTGACTGCTGGAAGGATGCATTCTGTGTCCTCACCAATGTTGTAAAAGTCAACTTGAAGCTGAGCCCTTTACTAGTGATGGTTTTCACAGAGCACCCATGTTCTGCTGATTTTTTCTTAGTACCCAGCATGCTTCTGTATTGTAGGGATTGTAAAAGTAAAATATCCAACAATGATACACACAAAGTTAAGTAACTTTGAATCCATGGATGGTGGAAGTATATTCCCATGACTAAATGCAGGAGGCCTTTGCCTTTCTGTACAAGAATGGTGATATTGAGGTCATTGCCTAAATGTATGTACAGAGAAGAGTACAAAAATCCTGAGTACTCTACACATGGCCAGCAAATTTGGAACTTGGAGGTTTCCTGGAACCAAACAAGGAATCCTGTGTATTTAACAACTCTCAGTAAATTCCTTTTCCATGATTTTCATTCTCATTAAGTTTGTGTAGACTTTCACAACTGCAGGGAAATTCTCCAACTAGATTAAATGCTCAGTGAAGCACCCTCTCTTGGTTTGAATCCTCTAGTGCTGTTGATACCTCTTCCAGTTGGAAGAGTTGTCATTAGTCCAGCTGAATGAACTGCCCATACTCTTGAACCCTGTGCAAAACCATTAAAAAGAAACCATACTTGAAATCTGTTAGACTTTAAGATCTATCTTGTTAATCTGCGTTATTCCTGATGTCCTTGAGGCCTTGTGGCTCAAGGATGTGCCACAGAAACTTTGCCATGTGCCAGAAAGCAGTCTGCACTGACAGCATTCCCTGGAAGAAGCCTCTCTCTCTTTTCAAGCATATAATGCTGGCTCACCACCTGGTCCATGTAGAGAGCAGTCTTCTACACTTTCTGTGCAAGATGTGTTCAGTGAGCTGGAGCATTTGTTAAGGTATCTGGATTATAGATTTAAGCATCTGGATTACAAATAGAGAAGAGAGCAATGCCTAGTTCTTAACCCAGTTACCTCAGATGACATTTAATTCAAGTCAGGTTAAGCTAAGATGTAAGTGCAGGTCTGTGTTCACAACATCTGAAACAGCTACAGCTACTTAAAAGGCATGCAGAAAGACACTAAAGGAAATCCCTGCTTAATGTACCCTTGCTAAAGCTCTGCATCAGAACATCCTTCCTGCAGCTCACTTGCAACTTCTGTCCTGAAAACTCTGTAATCAGTGGTGACGTTGGTGTTTTCCATTGGCTGCTTGTTGTTCTCCAGTGAGTTATGTGCCTTATGCTGTTGTTTTTTGTTTTAAATTCTGTATCAGACTGTAATTGTAAAAGCGCTCTTAAAAAATCAGAACAAGAAAACTGTGCATAGCTCGTTAGTGTCTCATGAAACCACTCTTGATTACCATTAGCTACTTTGGGATGAAAGCAGGTTTGAGGTAACTGATTCTTAAACTCTCCTTCATAGGCATCTTTTAAAAGGAAAAAAGAAAACTCAACAAAAAGCAGTCTAAATATTTTTTAATTCCCCTAATTTCCCTGTAGTTCTAAAATAATAACTGTATCTGAAGCAGGAAATCTTTCATGATTCAATCACATATGATTGGCAAAAAAAATTCATTATGGTATTGTTGGTTAATGTAATAGTTTGTGCTCCTGTCAGCTGGCTGGGAGTTTGATCAGGACATGAAGTTCATTTTTTAGCTCTCTTGGCTGTGCAGGTTAAGACTGGACCGTAAGTAAAAGATAAGATCATGATGCCATATCTGATTTCTGTATAGAGAGAGAGAGTTATAGCCTCTTGATACTGAGTAGTTTCTGAGCAAGGAAATAGTTCTTATTTAAATTGCTTTAGTGCTAATAATATTTACTTTGTCTAGTACCAGACCATGGGACCCTTTGAATGATATGATCCAGTTTGAAAAAGATGGCACAATCCAGACAAAAGTTCGACATCGGACACCAATGGTATGTTCCAGTTCTAGTTCTGACAGCACATGCAAGATCCAGGAACTTGTATCTATATTATACATTATTTGTATAAAGATCATTAGAGCATTGGGATTGATGGGAAATACTATTATCCTACAAAAATGTTGTTTACACACAATATACAAAGTCTTTCACTTCTGTGTTGCATCCTAAGTGGTAGAAATTACTGGATTGGATAAGAATATAAAATATGCAGACTTGAGCTCAGCAGTTTAATGTGTATTTTCCCTTAAATGGGAAGATGCACAAAATTCAGATTGCTAATACATCAAAAATTTTAACTTGGACTTCTCTTAGATATTGTGCTTTTAACTGCCATTGTTGGAATGTGCTGCTTTGCTACAGTCCTCTGGAAATAACACATAAATTTATTAATTTTAGGTTACTGTCCCACAAATCAAACGAAAGCCATCCAGTTTGACGAAAGGAGAGTGTGGTTTCTCATCCCCAGAGCCTGATAACCAGGATTCCTCTGGGAGTGAAGGTACAAAAAGATACATTTACTTACAGAAATAATAAATTTATTTGACAACTGAAGAGTTCAGTGTCACGCATACTCTTCTTATCACAATGTTTTTACAATGCTTTAGTTCTATCCAATGTGAAGCATGTTCTGGAAAACAAAGGAGCAGAATGGCTCTTGTTTTTAATTGCAAATTTTCCTGTCTTTTTAAATGCAGTGTAGGTAGGCTTAGGTGCTGCACATATTTAATATCTAGGGGAAAAGAATGGTGTTCATAAACTGTTTTCTTTCTTAAAAGGTTAATTGCTTTAATTTGTAGATTAGTATGTGGCCAGAGGGTAGATTTTTGTTGTTGATAATGTTTGCAGAAGCTAAACAATATGATGAGAGTTTAAAAGATATTTCAAGTACTTAAGTTGCTGTCCTGTGGTATAAGTGACTCTAAAATAAAGTTTTCAATAGAAGCTATTTAGAAAATTTTCTCCTCATTTTTACTACAGGTTTAGTTTGTCATTCGTACTTTGTTCCTTTTATGGCAGCAGTAACTTCAGTGAATTACATCTGGCTTCTGTATCCTTCTAGCTCAACTTATGAAGCATAATACAAGAATAAGGAAAAAAGGGGCAGACCTTGGTGAACTGCAGAGTGCCATTGAGTCTGTAAAGGAAACACAGGAAGACATTAAGAGGTAGTAATAATTAAAATGCTTTAAAATGGTTTAGAGAACAGTAATCTCATAGGAATTTTTTTTCCCCCTTAGAGGCTGGTATGTGTCTTTTCTCAAATATTGATTGCTCATTGATGTTTCAAAGTTTTCCTCTAAAGCTGCCTTGTTTAGGCAACCCTAACACAGCAGAAAATGTCAAATTGTCTAGTCTGTAATTTACAGGATATTGTTTTCTATCTTACAGGGAGATCATGGAGCTACGAGATAGAGTCACTTCTAATTCATCACCCGGGGACTACCATTCCTTGCAGTTTAAGCACTATGTCTTCATTGTACTCATGGTTCTGCTACAGCTTATCATTAATGTCTTGTTCAAATAAGAAGTGTGAACAAGGGCCTTCTTGAACTGGAATGATCAAACTGTTACTGGGGACCATATTTTAAGCTGGACTTTAAATGATGCAATATTATGTAAAAAAACTGTGTAGCAACAACTTACAGAACTTTGCCTCAGCATTCATGGTTCAGAATCATACTTGTGTCTACCCAGTTGCAGTAAGAACTGTGTAAGTGCCAGTACACTCTTGCTCCTGGTGTGTGCCTGTCTCGCAGTCATACGACATCGGCCTTGTGCTTATATTGCGTCACACTGATGAATCTTCACCACAGAATAGATCAAGCTAAACACTGAGGTCAGACCCCATAGGTAGGATGTGATTCTTATTATGGTAGAATGATAAACAGGCATACTTCATTACATATAAACTTATCATTTTTGTAACAAAAACTTTTGAAGTAGCCAACAGCTTTTGTAAATGGCATTGGGTGTTTGGAAGTAAACTTTTGTTTAAGGTCAAACAAATGCATTATTATATGAAAAATCGTGAGTGTTAGGAAAAGGCAAGTAAAAAGCTGAAGTCTTTGGGAAATCTGCAACATAATGTCCTTGATTAGTTTTGGAAGTATGAGGTTTTTATCCTGAATTACTGTAGGCTTGTAAGCCAGCTGTTTTATAGTTTTAAAACTTAAGATTCCTCTTAAAAACATTCCCACATCTACTGTACAGAGCACATTTTTAACAGTACAGCAGCCAGGGAGGTACTGTTTGGGTCTACTCTCTCATGAATTGCAAATGTCAAGGATTTCTGGTATGTTTGTAAGTCTTGAAAAATCTACAGCTTTGGATTTACATTTGTGTATGGCCATGTCATAGTAAGCAGACAGACTGCTCATGCCAGGACTCATAGGTATTTTTGGAACAAAATGTCAAGGGGTATGCTTAGTGTGTAGCTTGAGCTGAGTCTCCAAAAGGCAGTGTAGAATAGGATTCAGTCACTGTCATGAGCAGAGTTGCAAATGAAAATGTGTGTGTTTACACAGGGAAAGCTCAAAAGTTGTGTGTTGGCTAACACCACATATCTCAAAACAAATAAGAAGAAAATCCAAGTGTTTGAAATCCCTCTGTACTGCAAGCATATACTACCTACCAGAATACATGGATGCACCTTCTTAGTATGCTGTAGCCATACAAATTCATTCAAAGCTTAAATTCAAAACCAGGGTTTCTAACATTTTTTATTTGAAGAAATATATGCATGTATAGAATTTGTAAAATTCCAGCCCAGGTGAGACAACAGGAGGATGAGTGGCACAATATGAAGGACAGCCAAGTTTGTTTTCAGAGGATTCTCTCAGGAATCAAATCCATCCTGGGCAGTGGAACAGTCTGAAAGTCATGTTTGGCTTTTTGCTGTGGCCAGGTTATGCCTCTGCCTTGGGCAGCCTGCCTGACTCTCCAGATGATCAGCATTTCTGTTCTGCATCAGTCTCACCTAGTATATAGTAAAAATACTGTTTACTCGTTTATCTGTCCAGCTTATATATTTCTGTGGCTGACGCTTCCACACACCTCCCCTTCTCTTTTACCTTTCTTCTTCCGTGGGCCTCAGCTGTGTAAAAGTCTATTGTGTAAGCAGTGAACTTCAGCATATTTTGTACAGCTTCACATTAGCATGGTTTGGTCTTGAATAATTTTTCTGGAACATGTTATGTTAACCAGACCTTGGGCAAGACCAAACCTGGTTGGATTGCTATTAAATCTACAGCTGATGGGGCAAAATTTGTGAACATAGAAAGTCCCTTCATAAACAAACAAAATAATTACAAATGCCTCAGTCTCTAAATGGAAACTGAAGTTCCCCATGTATGAAATGGCATTAAGAAAGCAGAGTATTACGGCATTCACTTCAACATTCTTAGCCTGGAATTTGGCTGTTCATTATTGCATTCAGATGTCAAGGCTTCACCTGTCTTAAGATCCATTACAATCGTTTAAACATACTCTGAATGTGAGAATAATCCAATGACTGAGAATTGGGCAATAACTTCAATCCCCTAAAATAATACTCTGCTAAATCTGTGGTGCTGAAACTCTTGACTGGTAGTTTCAAGCTTTTATCTTCCTTGTAAATAGAAATATCCTTCTGCCTTTTCATGCTGATTTTTTCAATCACTTCTATCAAGAGCAGTGAATAACACAGTCTGCATGTGTTTTCACATGGCCTGCATGGTAGTGACTGGATTTGACCCAGCCAGCTGGCTGGCTGGCAGTGTTGGGCAATGTCAGACTAAAAAGATAATCCATAGCTGAAGTTCATGCTTAGCTCAAGATGAGTGAAAGGCTTGAACACAGCAAAACAAAATCCTTATGCTTATTTCCCTTTTCAGCTTATTTTTTAGAGTTGAATTCTGCTGAAAAGGTGGTTTTAGTGATGATCTGGAAAGGTAAAGGATATGTGATGAAACTTCTTGAAAAGTAAAATTGCAAGACTTCATGATTAGATAAATTCTGAAAAATACAATGAAAACCTAGTAATTCTTATTTTGCTGGATTTTGTATTGAATAGAACAAAGAAACTTCTTCCCTATTTTTTACTGTACAGTTGGTCACAGACATGTATGGATCCTTTTCTTTAGTGTGTCACCATTGTCCTCTTTAGCCATGATGTACAGCAGATCTTGACTACTACCTGCTTAAGACTGAGCTCTGCACATATATAAAAATTGATTGTACAGTTTGCAGATGCTTGAGGGCTGTGGCCTTCTAGTTTTTAAAGTTTATAACAGCACTTGTTTTCACATTTGATTTCCAATTCCTGTTTTGTTTGGTTTTTTTTTCCTTGTACAGGAAATATCTGCAGAATTTGCCACGTGGTTTTGTTGGGTTGGTTTGTTTGTTTTTAGATGCACTCTATGCCTTTAATTTGCCATTTAGGTACAGGTTGCCTAACTGGGTACAGATAACCTAAGCTAAGAAAAAGTAAATATGCCATGTGAAATGCAACAAGTATCATTTTCAGTAGATGATATTTCTTGAATTTCATGTGTTGATTCCTTTTAAATAGCTGATATCACTTGATGAGGGTGTATAGTCTGATCTTCATGTCCTTCCTCCCACTTGTGAAATCTCACAAATTATTTGCAAGGTTTTCTTGTAAAATGTAATGGTTGTGGTTTCTTCTTTTTTGTTTGTTGTTTGCTGCCCTTCTGTGCCTTTGGCAATTTTTTTTTTCTTCCTAGGTTCATGTTTATGAAACAGAGTTGTAATTCAGTGTTTCTTAAAGGCTGTTATTTTTAGCTATTACCCTTGTTTGTGTAAATAATGTGTAACAAAAATTCTGTACATCTCTAAGTTTTAATTATTTTTATTTCAGGAGTACCCGCAAATCACAGAACATTTAGCAGATATTCAAGTATTGTAAACAGTGCCTTCTTGATGGGTTTCTATGTTGTTCGGAGACATGTAAAGATTTGTCAAATCTGTGCCATATATATCGGATCTCTTGTGAGGGCTATTGTGTTTGAGAACTGATGTTCCTGCTTAGTCAGTCTCTCGGGGTGGAAAAAATCAGCTCTTAAAACATTACACTATTTCTCCTTTCTGGCTGGTGAGCCAAAAGTGGAGGATTTTGGGATGTTTACAGTGAAGCTGCACTACTCTGTGGCAACACAGAAATAGCTCGAACGATGTAACTTCGGGGTGAGATTATGTGAGCTTCTTCTCCTTAACTTTTTCTCCTTTATGCCCTACCCCGGCCTTTCGCTCTGCCAAGCGGGAAGATTAGCCCTCAGGACACAGCGCCCGCTTCCCCGTCCCGCGTGTCCCGCCCTGTCCGGCACCCGGGATCACCGCTTTGTGTGAGGGATCTGAACTGTTACGGTCCGCCTCCAATAAAGATGTGTCCCACCTCCGCGTCTCTGGGCTCTGTGCGCCGCTCCCTGTCCCGCTCCTCAGTCCCTCCCGCTCCCCGCCCCGCCCCTCCGCCGCTG